TACTTCTGGCTTAATTGCCCCCTCGCAGCCCTTTGGGACACTTCCAAGGTCCCAGAGCACTGCGGCCCATTCACATAGCGCAGCACGCTTTGTGCATATGCAGTAGGAAATCGGCGGTGAAGCCTTGCGGCTTCACTGCCAGTTTTGCTTAGTCAAGATGGCGGCACCAGCCCCCGATAGCCGATTAAAGAATAGGCTCAGGGTGAGGACGCTGCTGGATGCATGGACAGGTAAGTGCCTTAATATTAAAAGTCAGCAGGTATGGTATTTGTAGCTGCTGACTTTTAATTTTTTTTTTTTTTTTTTTGGGAGGTGGCCGGGACTAGAACTCCACCTTAAACACCTGATCCATGTATCATGCTAAAGGAAAAAACATGAAAAACTAAAATGGAGCGCCACGCAAAAGATGAAGTTCCTCTTTAAGGCTTTGTTCCCTGCTCCCCGTTAAGGATTGGCACTGGTTGGTGGGGGTGTGGGGGTGAGTGGATACCCGAATTTGACAGCAAATTCAAGCAAGATGCAAGCTGTCACAGCCAGGTGCCCACACTGAAGATGTTGGCGACGGAGAGAGAAGACATCTGGTGAAACCACCCTTGGTGAGGACACCGCTTGACCGGGGGGGGGGGGGGGGGGGTAGGTGTCTTCATATTAAAAGTCAGCAGTTACAGTTTTGTAGCTGCTGACTTTTATTTGTTTTTTTTGTTCAACTGGAGCTCAGCTTTTAAGTCCAAAAAGTTGAAAAAAAAAATAGCTCTCAGTGCAAACCCAATGAATAAATAAATAAATTCAGTGTTGAAATGAAAACAAACAGACGCACTCACACTATTATGATACCCCAAATGCTTTCATTTAGAAATTCTGTTGCACTGTTGTGCATATAAATAATTGAAAAACAATAACAAATATAAAGTAATAGGTCCATATAAAAGTCCAAAATGAATGCTTCCTGCTGTGACACACAAATTATGAGAACTCCTCCACCAGCCTCAGTGCTCTAACCACCACCACATGGACATCCTTCCCAGAGCCTGAGACCTCATAAGGCAAGAGGTCTAATGTTGCTTTAAGTGTTTCCAGACAGACGATGGCTTGGAATCCTTTCCAGTAGAATGGATGATCGGCTTGGAATTCTTTCCAGTAGAATGGATGAACAGCTTACAACTAGTGGTGCACCAAAATGGAAATTCTGGACCGAAACCAAAGATTCAGCAAGCACTTGGCCGAAAACTGTAAGTTTTTCTTTTTTTTTTTTTAAGTGATTATAATATATATATATATATATATATATATATATATATATATACAGTCAGGTCCATAAATATTGGGACATCGACACAATTCTAACATTTTTGGCTCTATACACCGCCACAATGGATTTGAAATGAAACAAACAAGATATGCTTTAACTGAAGACTGTCAGCTTTAATTTGAGGGTATTTACATCCAAATCAGGTGAACGGTGTAGGAATTACAACAGTTTGCATATGTGCCTCCCACTTTTTAAGGGACCAAAAGTAATGGGACAGAATAATAATCATAAATCAAACTTTCACTTTTTAATACTCGGTTGCAAATGATTTGCAGTCAATTACGGCCTGAAGTCTGGAACGCATAGACATCACCAGACGCTGGGTTTCATCCCTGGTGATGCTCTGCCAGGCCTCTACTGTAACTGTCTTCAGTTCCTGCTTGTTCTTGGGCCATTTTCCCTTCAGTTTTGTCTTCAGCAAGTGAAATGCATGCTCAATTGGATTTAGGTCAGGTGATTGATTTGGCCATTGCATAACACTCCACTTCTTTCTCTTAAAAAACTCTTTGGTTGCTTTTGCAGTATACTTTGGGTCATTGTCCATCTGCACTGTGAAGTGGCATTCAATGAGTTCTGAAGCATTTGGCTGAATATGAGCAGATAATATTGCCCAAAACACTTCAGAATTCATCCTGCTGCTTTTGTCAGCAGTCACATCATCAATAAATACAAGAGAAACCAGTTCCATTGGCAGCCATACATGCCCACGCCATGACACTACCACCACCATGCTTCACTGATGAGGTGGTATGCTTAGGAACATGAGCAGTTCCTTTCCTTCTCCATACTCTTCTCTTCCCATCACTCTGGTACAAGTTGATCTTGGTCTCATCTGTCCATAGGATGATGTTGTTCCAGAACTGTGAAGGCTTTTTTAGATGTCGTTTGGAAAACTCTTATCTGGCCTTCCTGTTTTTGAGGCTCACCAATGGTTTACATCTTGTGGTGAACCCTCTGTATTCACTCTGGTGAAGTCTTCTCTTGATTGTTGACTTTGACACACATACACCTACCTCCTGGAGAGTGTTCTTGATCTGGCCAACTGTTGTGAAGGGTATTTTCTTCACCAAGGAAAGAATTCTTCGGTCATCCACCACCGTTGTTTTCCGTGGTCTTCCGGGTCTTTTGGTGTTGCTGAGCTCACCGGTGCGTTCCTTCTTTTTAAGAATGTTCCAAACAGTTGTTTTGGCCATGGCTAATGTTTTTGCTATCTCTCGGATGGGTTTGTTTTGTTTTTTCAGCCTAATGATGGCTTGCTTCACTGATAGTGACAGCTCTTTGGATCTCATCTTGAGAGTTGACAGCAACAGATTCCAAATGCAAACAGCACACTTGAAATGAACTCTGGACCTTTTTATCTGCTCATTGTAATTGGGATAATGAGGGAATAACACACACCTTGCCATGGAATAGCTGAGAAGCCAAGTGTCCCATTACTTTTGGTCCCTTAACAAGTGGGAGGCACATATGCAAACTGTTGTAATTCCTACACCGTTCACCTGATTTGGATGTAAATACCCTCAAATTAAAGCTGACAGTCTTCAGTTAAAGGCCATCTTGTTTGTTTCATTTCAAATCCATTGTGGTGGTGTATAGAGCCAAAAATATTAGAATTGTGTCGATGTCCCAATATTTATGGACCTGACTGTATATATATATACACACATTGTATTTGACTAATTAATATTGTGAATTTAAATAACAGAACGCAAACTAGTATTAAGCTCCAAGGATCAGGGCCCTCAAATCCCTCTTGTATTGAACGTGCTGAGCAAACTGTTGGCGCTATATAAATCCTGTATAATATTAATAATAATGTGAAATACCTTTTATTGAAAGTAACATACACAAATTGGACAGAAAATAAAATCTATATAAAATAAAAAAAAAACAAACAAACTTGAATAGAGGTGTTTTTGCATTGAAGTTAGCGGGGGGGGGGGGGGGGGGGGGGAGGGGGGGGGGTGATTTTAAAGTGAAGTCAAATATCCTTATCAGCACCTTTTACTTTGTTCTATTGGCAAAATGCCAACAACCCTATTTTCGGCCAATTATTGTCAGTATAATGTGTGTTTCCATGAAATCACATCAAAGATGAAGCAAGTGGGATTTTTTTTTATAATGTACTGCTACTAAAACACCCAGGTGTGACCGGAGCCTTAGTAAGGTTGGTTCACATCCGTGTTGTGTGTTTTAGGCCTCGCACACACTGGTCTTAAAAAGTGCCTCTTTTACAGGTATTTCCCGTTTTTTTTTTTCCTGTTGTCTGTGGACGCACCTCTGTTTGCCTATGCGTCTATGCACACATAGATTTTTACAGGTGTATTAGAAGAGGAGGGTTTACAGGTTGAGAGAAAAAAAAAAAAAAGCGCGTTCAGAAGAGCTGCAGAGCAGAAAGAAACAATGAATGCGCCTAAATGCGTGCTTTGAGTGTTAATGCATTCCAGTGGCCAGAGTAAAATCATATTCTGGTCAATAGACTCCAATAAAAACAAAAATGCTTGATGCACCTAAATGCCTGTGGAATATGTGGCTTTAGGCATGATTTTTAGGCAGCTTTTCTCCTACCAGGAAAAAGGGCATTCAGAGGGACTGAACTCTGTGTACATGAGGCCTTAGGTTGGTGTCGGGTGCGGTACCACTGAACCCTTCATAATGTGCAATTTCATGAAAGCTCATCAAAAAGTCAGTTATGAACAGGTGAGAATGAGGCATCACTGTTGAAAAATGCAGAATAACAACATGGATCAGAATGTAGACACCATATAACCAGAACAACATGAGAAATAGGAATATTGTAAAAACAAGAGAAAGGAAAAGGATCCCAGTGGTCAGAATGGGTAACCAGCTGACTGGACCAACCAGCACTGAGGTTTCCTATAGAAGCCTACACTACCGCCACACACCTCCCAACTTTCTGAGATGGGAACGAGGGACACCTATTAGCAAACGTATGTAGGCATAGGACATGCCCCCTGCTACACCCTCCTTAACCACTTGCCCTCCAGAAAATTTACCCCCCTTCCTGAGCCGGCCATTTTTTGCGATATGGTGCTGCGTTATTTTGACAATTGCACGGTCATGCAACACTGTACATAAATTCAATTTATGTTGTTTTTTTCCACCACAAATAGAACTTTCTTTTGGGATTTGCATTTTTTTTTTGTGCTATAACAAAAAACCAGACAATTTTGAAATAAAACCCAATATTTTTGACTTTGCTCTAAAACCTATCCAGTAAAAAAATTTAAAAATCAAATTTCTTCATAAATTTAAGCCAAAATGTATTTTGCTACATGTCTTTTCTAGAAAAAAAAAAAAAAATCACAATAATTGTATATGAATTGGTTTACGTGAAAGTTATAGTATCTACAAATGGCAGTATATAAACTGGAATGTTTATTATTTTTTATACTAGGAATTGCGGTGGTCAGCGACCTATAGCGGGACTGCGGCAGGCATTCTGACACTGGCTGGGAGCTGACTAACTACCACTGAGATCCCCAGTGACACTAATACAATGAGCAGTGTTAATAAAAAGCACTGACACTATACTAATGACACTGGGCAGGAAGGAGTTAAACATCTGGGGCGACCAAAGGGTTAACAGTGTGCTGTGTGTGTTTTACATTGTGTGCTGTGTTTTACTTGGGAGACTTGCTGCTTTGTATCTCTTTGCTGTGCAGAGAGATACAAAGCAGCATGTCCATGCTGACAGGAGAGAGACCTGTGTTGTTTACACACAGGTCTCTCTCCTGTCAGCTTTTCCGACGATCACCGAGTGACGGCCTGGAAGTGCTGGCCGGGACCCGATGATTGACATCCCCAGCCGCCCATAGCGGTGCGGGTAGGGTGGCACGCGCCCCCTAGCCGAAAATGCAGATCACGTATTTATATGTGAATTTTGCAAAGCCGTGCTGCCCTGTAGCAGTATTTCTGCTATAGGGCGGATGGCAAGTGGTTTTTAAAGGAGAATTACACAAAAAAAATTTGTTAAACCCACAAGTAGTTTTTTTGACCGTGACTTTTCCTTTAGATTGGCTTTGGAAATATCCAAATGCAGTAATTTAGAAATTGGATGAAAGGTTTAGTACTGGAAAATACTTTTTGATAGATAAATAGTGCATTTTATATACAAACTATATAGATCAGAACAAAATCAGGGACAGCGGGACTTTGTTCCAAATGAAGGATAGTCCCTCGAAAACAGGACAGTTGGGTGCTGTGCCTCCAGCAGGTAGCAGAAATGCTCCATGGAGAGAGCACGCAATTCCTGGCCATAGACATTAGATGGATGGACTCAGAGCTGAGCAGTGCTGACCCATCACACAGACACTGACAGGCCAGCAATGAGTGCACCTACCGTGCAGGGGCCCCATCCATCCCTCCACGGGGAAGCTGCTTGTTGCAGGGAAGAAGCTGCCACTCCATGCAGAATGATGATGCATTCCTCATGGTAACATACAGCCCCGGCACACTTTCCTGCTCCACCCCATCTAAAATACAGGATGATGCCTTATGTCCCTGTAATGTAATCAGCAAGCAGAAGGCGCGAGCCAGAAAGAGATGTGGCCTGCGAAAAGACACATGCTGCAGGGGGAGGAACTCGCCAGTGGCGTCATCAGTTGCTGAGGATGGCATTACTCGTTCGGGATCCAAAGCTACAGAGTGACGGAATGACTGATCAATAGGACCTGTGAAGGTAGGTGGATCCCAGGACAACATATGGGAAGTATAGTATAGTTTTTCCGGGTGTAGGAAGCAGGAAATTTCAGAGCGGAAAAGGGGGCAGGGCGGTGGGAGTAAAATGTCATGGATCTTTTACTGTGTCTGTGGGGCAGAGAATGCCCCATCACTAGATGACTGGTCTGTAGAGGTGACAGCTCACTGGTGGGCTCGCACACATTGGTTCAGATCCTAGTTCGAACACGCCTAAGATGATCACTGGTGTGGAAGAACTCAAGAGGCCTGCACAGAGCCTTGACTTCCATCCTACAGAACACATTTGGGATGAATTCCCTGGGAGCGTGCAGCACCGCAATCCGGTGCCCGCTGTGTCCCGATCATGTGATCACTGATTGGCCAATCAGTGATCACATGAATAGTAGTAAGCAAGATGTCACTTCCTGACATTATTGCTTACTACTAGTGAAATCTGTGAATGATCACAGAGGTCACATGGTACAGGGCTATTCACAACAGCCTTGTACCATGTGACAAGCTGTGACCAATCACAGCTCACACAGTAGTTCTCAATGGCTGCAAGAATGCAGCCAGAGAGAAGGAGAAATGATTACTTTTACAGCCTTTATGGGTGTAAAAGCAATCAGTGTAAAAAAAAAAAAAAAAAAAAAATCATCACCCCCCACAAGTAGTACAATGTCACTATGATAACACTGTACTGCTAGAGTGACAGTAATAATATAAAAAATAAAAATGTAATTTTTGTTTTAATTATAATTTTTGGTTATAAACTAATTTGTTTTTTTTTTGGCCAAGATTTATGAAGAAAGATTTATTTGCAAAATTTTATAAGAAAAACACTTTTTTTTTTCAAAATGTTTGGACTTTTTAATTTATATAGCAAAAATAAAAATCCCTGTGGTGAATAAATACCACCAAAATAAAGTTTCATCTGTCTCAAATAAAATGTGAAAAAATTCATATGGGAACAGTGTTGCATGACCGCGCAATTGTCATTCAAAGTGTGACAGCGCTGAAAGCTGGCCTGGGCAGGAAGGGGGTGAAAGTGCCCGGCAGGCAAGTGGTTGAAGCCCAACTCCAAGCCTGAGATTTCCAACCCTCCTCATTTCCCTCCACCCCTTTGTAATTTTATATCCTCAAAAAAAAAAAATCTATCCCTACCCTTTTTTTCAGGTGTTTTCTATCTGGCCCATTGACATCACTGATCCTTTTCATCCTCTTCTTCCTCCGGTAGTAGGTGTATGAAATGCTGCAGATCAGGTTCATCTATTGATGCTGCACCATTCAGCATTTTCTTGTGAGTCCAGGTTGAGGATGGAGTCTTCACACCCTGGTCTAGCAGAAAGTGAGTTGAATGACGCTGGCCATTATTCAGTCGGTAGGAGGAGTGTTAAAGTTCACTAGAAGAAGAAAAAAAAAAATAAATAAATAAAGGGAGTGGAGGTCACATGTATCAAAAAATGGAGCTCCATTCTGCGCCAGACTCCATTGAACAGAGGAAACTGCGGGCCGGAAGTGGGAGGAGTCTGCGGGCCGGAAGTGGGAGGGGCAACGCACGTTGCTTAGCAACCCGCTATGCTGCTCAGTCTGAAGGAGGAGCTGCTGGAGTCAACATCATCTGAGCGCTGCGGAGAGGCGGACTGGCCAACCAATGGACTGTGGAGCCTGATGAAGTAGGTGGAGCCAGCGACATGTGGGCGAATGAGGGAGGAGATTTATCATTTTAAATGATTTGTATATATGATCGGCGGGGTCTGGGTGGGTTAGTTACTGGGACCGCCCCCAGCAGATCGGTGTAGTAGTTACTGGGACCGCCCCCTGCAGATCGGTAGGGTAGTTACTGGGACCGCCCCCCTGTCAGTTCTGGACTGGGCTGTGTGTAAGCTTGGACCCAGACTGCCAATCGGTGAGCGCGGTTGTAGAGAGAGGAGATGGAGGTCACATGTATCAAAAAATGGAGCTCCATTCTGCGCCAGACTCTATTGAACAGAGGGAACTGCGGGCCGGAAGTGGGAGGGGCAACGCACGTTGCTTAGCAACCCGCTATGCTGCTCAGTCTGAAGGAGGAGCTGCTGGAGTCAACATCGTCTGAGCGCTGCGGAGAGGCGGACTGGCCAACCAATGGACTGTTGAGCCTGATGAAGTAGGTGGAGCCTGATGAAGTAGGTGGAACCAGCGACATGTGGGCGAATGAGGGAGGATATTTATCATTTTAAATGATTGTATATATGATCGGCGGGGTCTGGGTGGGCTAGTTACTGGGACACCCCCCCCCCCCCAGCATATCGCTGGGTAATTTATTGGGACCGCCCCCTGCAGATCGTTAGTGTAGTTACTGGGACCGCCCCCCTGTCAGTTCTGGACTGGGCTGTCAGCAAGCTTCAACCCAGACTGCCAATCGGTGAGCGCGGTTGTAGAGAGAGGAGTGAGTAGGCCGGGACGGATGTTCCCGGTTGGTTGGAGCTGTGGTGTGCAATGATTGGGTGATGGGACAGATCTTTCCTGGGATCGATCTCCTGTGTGCACAGCCAGCCCTGTGATCTGTAGAAGCCGCATTAGATAACATGGGAACAGCAGGTGGCAGGATGATGACATTGCAGCCGCTGTATTCCTGTAGTAGAGGCTCTCCAGGTCTGGGACATGACTCTAGTAGAGGCTCTCCAGCACCTCAGGCTCAGACACCACCACTCTTATTAACCATTTGCCCTCCTGTTGGTGCTATATAATTCCTGTATAATAATTATGTTCTTTTGTTCACACAAATAGAGCTTTCGGTGCTATTTGATCAACTCTGCGGTTTTTTTTATGTTTTGTGCTATAAACAAAAAAAAGACTACATTTAAAAAAAAAACTATTTTTTTGCTTTCGGTTATAAAAAAATATATAGTAAACTCAAATTTAGTAACAAATTTAGGCTAAAATGTATTCTGCTACATGTCTTTTGGTAAAAAAAGATCCCAATAAGTGTATACTGATTGGTTTGTGTGAAAGTTATAGTGTCTACAAACTACTACTGTATATATTGGAATTTACACAGCTTTTACTTTCTGATTGCTATCACATTTCTTGAGCTACTAAAATGCCAGAGCAGTACAAACACCCCAAATGACCCCTTTTCAGAAAATAGACACCGTGACAAACTCCTCTCCTCTCACAGTCCACCCTGAAGACCAGAACGGCGCGGGAACACGGCGAGAAGAACGCGCGGAGCAAAGGTAAGTGAATTGACACAATATGGGGAATGAATTACTATAGGGGGGATGAATTACTATATGGGGGATGTATTTTCAGTTTTAAAAATGTGGCTCTCAAAATAAATTTCAATCGTGGTTTTGGCAAGATTTGGCTCAGTTGAAAAAAAAAGGTTGCCCACCACTGGCCTAAGCGATCTGCTGAGAGGTGTGTTGAGTGCATGGAAAATTCTTTTTTTTTTTTCCACACGTTTTTGGAAAAGGACAATTTTTTTTTTTCCACACAAATTTGTCACTTAAATGATTTATTGATTAAGGATCCTCCTGCGCTTCTATGGATAGTTCCCCCTCCGTAATAAGTACAGCTGCTGACACTCCAAACAATGACCTAATCAGTGTAAGAATCTGTATACATTAGTGTAGCGCTCTAAAAAATGTCATAAAACCATAAATAAACTATAAACAATATTAAATAAAATGTGAATGTGACCAGTGCTGTAATCTTCACAGTGCTCTTATGCCACTAATAGCACTAAAATATAGACAAAACCAACAATATCAGAATATACAGTATAAAATATATAATAAATGTGACAAGTGCTGTAGTCTTCTCAGTGCTCTAATAACACTGAGTAAGAAAAAAGACCATAAATCAAAAAATAAAATAAAAGTGATAGTGTCACTCCAAACAATAAATAAATCAAATAGGTGACGGTGCCACTTCAATTCATTCAATGTCCAATTTTTCTCATTAACATTCGTCTATTTGAAGTGTTCTTGATAACCATGCATAGTGTGTATAGTAGTGCCACACGTGAACCAACACACTTCTTATCCACTTTGGCTGAAATGCCTGCTCACCTCCTTCCTGTGACCCCAAGGGGCCCACAAGCCTTTAGGATCACCCTGGATCCTCAGGATTCCTGGTATTGGCACCTTCCTGATATTCCTCCTATCAGGTCTCCTCCACTCCTTCACTGCTATGCCTCCCAGGTTCCTCACCACCGGTTGTCTGTAAGCTCTCTCTCACAAAGACAGTGAGTAGAAAAACAGATCCTCCATTGTGTAGTATTTTCCAATCAATAGGGTTTATTCATAAAATAGTAGTAACAGGTGACTTACATTCGGTTTGTACAGTCTCAGTGTATTCTTCAGGGTAAACTGCAACCTCTTAGTTAGTGACTTCCTGATAAACAGGTAAATGGCGTCCCATACGGAGTGCGACACTCCGGGGATACCGGAAGTAGCGTCTAGTTTTGCCTACGCGTTACGTCAGTACCTCGTGAACCTTCTTCTTGGGTATCGGCTATGGAGACGCTGCCCCTTTTTACCTTTCTTTTTGTGCGGTGGAAACCAACTATCCCGCCCTTTAATCCCGTTCTAATTGCGGCGCCATTTTCTTGGAGCCTAATTTGGCAGAGACATGGCATAGTAATCCTCTGATAATACGAAAAATCCTCTTGTAAATCCTAAGATCGCAAACTTACACATATAAAGGCTATCTACTGCAGACTAGACCCTATATAACGCAACTAATGGCAACTAACTTTATTAATAATACATAATTAAAAAAAACCTATGGAGTATATAATAAAAACTAAATATATAAAAAACCGTATAATATAATATATAAACGAAAAAAAGACCCCCATAAGAATAAAATGAGAGACCATAATGACACCCTGGTCTCCCTAAATCCTAAACCAATGCACAGCTCTATATTAAAGGGTAACTCCTCATATAAAAACTAAAGATAATGAAAATGCATAAATATGGTAGAATTTTTTTTAGGTAAAAAACCAAATCTCTACATACCAAGATTAGTAGAATAAGGATATGAGTAAAAAACTAGTGCTAAATATGATACAAAATCTTATTTTCAAAATATAAAATAAAAATAAAAATCTGATATATCATGCACAATATACTCCTTTCATTAAAAATAATCAAAAATAATACGGACTACCGTAGTATGCAGTAACCCCATAATTTACAATAAAAGTCAATAACAGGCCATAATTAAAAAACTCGACAAAATTAATCAAAAAGTTTAATAATCATTTGATAAAGGAATAAGATCAAAACTCTACATTTAGGGACTCTTGGAAAACTAGCGTTTCTCATGTCATGTATCCAGCGTGAAATCAGCTTGGCTAAGTTGTTTAATCTTGTTACTGCCTCTCCAGTGCTTTCTATATTTAAAAAAAAATATACCCCAAAAACTTGCATTTTGGTGGTGTCCTTATTATGACACTTATGGAGAAATGTTTTGAGAAAATTATGCTTTGGTGAATCTTTAGAATATTTCTTAAATGTTCCCTATCCTCTTCCAAGCAGTCTTTTTGTCCTCCCA